TTTTATTTATTATTATATATCGATTTTAGTTTTCCCTGATCTTAATTACGTATTTTACATCGCATATGGTATATATATTAAAACTCACTTATTTCTAGTATCTATATCTGAAGAGGGAGGGAGAGTGGGAGAGAGATAGACAGACACAGGGAGGGAGCGGGTGCATGAGGGAGAATTATTATTAGCTATTTTATATCGTCTGATTTCTAGAGAATTGCATAAGTGTAGAATACTCTATAGTTTCTCTCGTAATTTTTTCTCAGCAACTATTCGCTACTTCCTGCTTCTCAAGCTGTTCATTAAGCTACAATTTAGATAAAGCTTCCTCTTCTATCTTCCTCTTCTACTTATTAATATTCAGTGTGTCAAGGACTATTTGAAGCCATAAATTTGAAATTGAAATTTTCAGCAGCTGCCCCCAACGCATACAAATGTAAGAAATATAGCCTCATAACATTCGTACAGCTATATGTATATGTATGTGTGTTAATTTGTGTATGACTGAATGAGTGTCAACAGCGACATTGTTGTTGTTGTTGTTGTTGTAGCTGCTGATGCTACTGCCTTTAAAAATGCAAATCAAGTTTCAAATATTTGAACACTAATATTTGTGGAATGCCACGAAATGCCTTATGCCCCTCGAAGCAGAAGGCGTGCAAGACAGAAAGAGAGAGGCAGAGTGCGAGAGAGAGAGAGAGGCAGAGAGCATATTTAAAATGTCGCGTGCCGTTAACTCCAAAATGCCAAAAAGCCAACTCGCATACATTCTAATTAATAGTGCGAGCAGGAATGGTGAATGGGAATGGGAATGAGAATCGGGCATGGGAATGGGAATCGGGTATGGGTATGGGTAGACAGGCTGGCGGACTAAATGAAAGGCTCAACGCCGCATTAGAAAGCAGCCTGGCGAGTCGAGCCAGCAGCAGATGACAATGATGAGGCGAACGGGTCTTGATACGGACTCCTTGTCAAATGAATGCATTATGCAAACGTTCTGAATGGGCTACCCCAACCACATTGCTGCCCAGCCCCTGCCCCTGCCCCTGCCCCAGCCACTGCCCCTGTGTCCAAGTCATTTCCTTGGTCACTTAGACGCATCCGTCGTTGCTTATCAGCGGCATTCGAGCACACCGGCTACCGGCTTGAGTGGCCGTCCGAGCCGGTCCGGGCCAAAACGTTCTCATTTCGCCGGTTTCCCAGGCAACGTTGCGGGCGCTGATTTGGCCGGCCACCGGGCGCGTCCTGGCCGGCTATCGACGACACATTGACAGGACATTATCGGCACACTTGTAAGCGGCTTATCTTAATTGCTACTGACCTGCGCAACGTTCCAGCTCCGTTGGCCAAGTTATTTTAAATGCGTTTCTCGAGTGCCTGCATACGAAATGCGAAATGCGAAATGGAAATTATGTGACGATCCCTCGAGGGTTACTCTGGCTGCCATCTGTATCTGCGTCATATTTTGCATTCTGCTCTCCTCTGGTTGTTGTATTTTTTGTATTTTTTTTTTTTTTGGGGCTCGCTAATTGAAGATTATGCCTAGCGCGTGTCGAATGGCATTCCGCGGATCGCTCTGGCCGGCCTGGGTGGGATGAGCCATGAGCCATGAGCAGCTGCTGCCTGTTGGGCTCGAGCTGAGCTGAGCTGAGCTCGGCTAAGGCCAAACGGGTTGGGCATTAGACGCATACGTGCTCCAAAATGGCCATCGGCTGGCAGTCCAGCGTCTTGCGTTTCTTTTATTCCGCAGAAGTGTAAATTGCGGCTCAATGTGCGAAATTATCATTTCCATATCGGGTCTAAGAATTTTAACGGCCATTTGTGTGCGCAGTCAGCAGTCAGCCGCAGCAGCAGCAGCAACAACAACAACAACGAGCTGCAACAAAATCATGTCGAGTCGTACACAAACTTGCAACGTGCAATTGGCAACTCGCAACTCGCAATTGGCAACTGGCAACTGGCAATTCGCAACTCTGTTGGCGGATTTACGTGGAATTGCAAACGGCTGTCTTCCTGCTGCTGCTGCTGCTGCTGCTGCCGTTGTTGCTGCTGCTGAGACAGACAGGTGGACACCCAATATGGCTATTGAGTTATTCACTTTGACATGCCGGCAGAGACAGTGGCATTCCGCTGTGAGGGAGCAACTGCTCCAGCTGGGCGGTCGTTGCAGCACCACAGAGCCACCAGCTCCTGCTGCCCTTGTGGTACTGCTGCTAAACTGCAGCTGGAATGCGTATTAGCAATAACATTGTGCATATTTTATATTTCGGCAGCAGGGCAGCGGCGCTGGCGTTGGCGCTGGCGTTGGTTGAAGAGTTATGACAACGTTGCATAGTTGCCAAAGTATTTTTGGTGCGTGGCAATTAGCAGCGTCGCTCATACGTCGCGTTGTCCACTGCAGCAGCCACAGCACATCCTTGCAATGGGCCAATTTGCACATAAGGTCAGCCAGCAGCTGCAGCAAATGCTACAATGGCAGCGCAGCAGCAGCAGCAGGAGTAGGAGCAGGAGCAGCAGCAGGGGTAGGAGCAGGGGTAGGAGCAGCAGCAGCCGAGTTCGTGTCTGAGTGGTGCATGGAGTTTATCAAAATACGCGAGTGTCCCTGTCTCTGTGTCCTTTCGCCATTATTGTGTGTCTGTATGTGTGCGTGTGTGTGTGTGTGTGAATCCCCCACAGAGGTAACTGCTGTTGTTGCTGTTCAAGTCCAACCCTTGGCAAAGATGTCTGCTTGCGCTGCTTGCTGCCTGCACACACACACACACACACACACACACATACACAGTCATACACACATATACAATGACAGCAAAACCTGTTTGTACACACACACACACAGACACGTCCAAGGGGTTCACGCTGTGTGCTTGCCATGGGGCGGAGACTTTGCCGCTGTCGCTGCCTCTGCCTCTGTCTCTGCTTCTGTCTCTGCTGCCTCTGCTGCCACTGCTGTTGTTGTTGCCTTTTTACTTGCTCTTATCTGATGGCAATAAGCCGAAGCCCGAAGCTGCCCGCTCGGCACCCTCGCTGCGCTCGCCTCACGCCCGGCTTGTTGTTGCTGATATGTTGCATGAAATGAATTGTTTGCTTGCCATGCGAATACATCAAGCCAGGCGCTGCTGCTGCTGCTACGCACACTATGGTCGTCTCGCTCGCACGCACGCCATTCGGCCAGGGGCGGCTGAGTTGGAATGAAACTAAAACTGGAACTGGAGCTGGAGCTGGAGCTGGAGTTGAGGCTGAAGCCATAACCAAACTGTGTTGTTTGGCCAAAGTTTGGCAAATGTTGCAACTGCTGCCGTTGTTGTTGTTGCTGTTGTTGTTGCTGCTGTTGTTACTGTTATTGTTGTTTGAGGTGTGTTCGCCTTGGTTGGTTTCTTTTGCGCCTGTTTGTTTTAATATTAAAATCGATCCAACGAAGTGAACTGCATTTGCGGCACTTGCACTTGAATGCATTTTAAAGCAGCTCAGTTGCATATTTTTTGCTTGCTATCTCTGTCTCTTTCTCTTTACGTACTTTTTGTTTGTATGCCGTTTGTTGTTGTTGCTTTTATAGTATTTTATTTTTACCGAATTTCAGCGATTTCAACAATTTCTGTTTGCATTCACGAGGCATTTGGCGTTATGAAGTGCATATATGTGTGTCTGCATATAAGTGTGTGTGTGCGTGTGTGTGTTTGTGTGTATGTTCATACGTGTGCATTATTAACCAAATATTTTATATTCATCTCTGCGTCTGTCTCTCTGTGTGTGTGTGTGTTTTTTTTTTTTGTATATTTCGAGCTGCATTTCATGGCATTCGTCGACTCGTCTATTTGGGCCTTCGTGTGGGTCGTGGGCGCAACGAATTCCCTTTTAATTAACTCAATTTCATGCCATTTACCACTTTTTTCTCTGATCCAAACATATTTCATATCTGTTTTACTCTCCCTCCCTCGCGCTCTCTCTCTCTCCGTGCATCGCCCTCTCTCGCTCTCCCCATTGCGGTAATCAGTTTTCAGCTTTTATATTTCACCGCTTAAATATGATTGCATAAAATAATTGAGAAAGCATGCAAGTCATGCTCGGGAAACCAACAAATATCCAATGTATGCATTAATTAACAGTTTTCGACAAACTAACTTTTCGATGCTTTACTTTGCCTATTGCATTTTGTAGTAGATGAAAAGGATTTATCTACCAGGATATGCAGATGTTATTTCACTAGCAATTTGTTGCCAATTCGGAATGCAGTTCGACCTTCAACTAAACTTAAATTTAACTGGAGCCTCTATTTGTCAAGTAATCAAGTAATACAGATACAGATACAGATATAACTATATAACTATATAACTATATAACTATATAACTATATAACTATATAACTATATAACTATATAACTATATAACTATATAACTATATAACTATATAACTATATAACTATATAACTATATAACTATATAACTATATAGCTATATAACTATATAACAGCGATTGATTTTAGATTTAGATAATTTCCATAGATTAGTCAGAATGCCTATGATCTAGACGGGTTTCTCTGATGAAGTGTGTGAAATTCTTTTCAATTAGTGAGTTCAGATCTGATTATATTGTATTAAGTTGCCTAGACAACAAACCTCCCTAACTTGCTTCGTTCCAAATTTCATATGAGTCTTGCTACATAGCACATCTGCATCTCATATTACTACTGCTCCAAAATGTCATCAGACAGGAAACTCCAATTAGATTCAGACTATCCTTGGTATATCTCAGCAGATTAGATTACGCCTAAACATACACTCTCTAAAAGCAAATTTCTTGGATAAGCCGAGCCAAGCCAAGTGAACTGTAAGATATTTAGTTTTATTAAGAAAATGCGCCGCAATATTTCTAAATTGAGTTTATAATCGAGAATCAGTATATTGTCTGATGTCTGGCCAAGACGAGGGACTTGGGCCAAGGCAAAACTAATAAACTCGCCTTTTTTCTTCGGTTTGCCCACATTCGCATCCTCGGCCGCATTCATGGACTCTTTTTGTTCGAGCCGCGCGCCTCTTCTAATTGCTGTTTAAAGCGAATAACGAGGCTGAGCAGGAGCAGAGGAAGAGGAGAAGAAGACGGCGCGCAGCGGGCTGTGGGCGGAGCTGAAACCAAATTTACCGAGTGCAAATGCAGCTACAACTGAAGCTCGAACTGGAGCATTTTTGTGAATTATTTTCCCATTATGAACAGATTAGGTTTACTGTGGAGCAAACTTGGCAACGGCGCCGCACCAAAAGGAGTTTTCACTCAGGCGAAAGTAAATGGAGCTTGGCACGGAGGCAAAGAACAACCCGAGGACTAAGATGGCACAAGTCGAGCCCCAGCCCCAACATAGCCCGGGCCAAGGCAAGCCAAAGGCAGAGGCAAAGGCAAGACAGGCTCGCAGCATTTTCCTCCTGCTGATGTCCTGTGCGTCTGTCCGCCTGTCCTGCCGTCGGCTTGCCTTGTCATGTCACGGCGCAACGGTGAAAAGTTCTTGCCGGCGTTGCCTTTGTTAGGCAAATTGTAAAGAACAAAGGGGAAAGTATTTTAACGCGGTCTGAATTTCAAAAGTTTGCCAAGGTGCTCAATGTGAGTCTGTTTGTGGGTATGGAAATGGGACAGGACACCCTCTCATCTGCGCCTTCCCTCTCTGTGTGTGTGTGTGTGTTAGAGCGGTACAGACACTTGAAATTCTCGCTTTGAAGCGTTTGTTTTTATGCGCAATTTTCCATAATTTCGTCTTATTTGTGTAACGTGTAAATTACTAAATAACCAACAATGTCATTCCTTGAGTTGGAGTCTGAGTCAGAGTGGAAATGTCTGTATCTGTGTGTGTGTGTGTGTTTAGGACACATTAATTAGAATATCAATGAACCATGCTACTTTTTGTTAGTTCTTTCCAATATGCTCTGCAGGAAATGTCAATTGCGCCACCTTCGACAGTGAGCAGAGCTGAAACAGAAGCTGGGAATTGCCTCTCAGATGGCAAGAGATCAGACATATAAATCACAATAACGCCAGCTCCTGTCCTGTCCTGTGACGTGACCGGCCAAACCTACAAAAACCGCACACACACACAGAGTCAGACACACACACACACAGAGAGACATGCATACACATCGAGTGCAACCACAGGCCGGCGCACAAATGAACCCGAAATGAGAGAAGCATCTCCGGGACCCTGGAAAAATGATGTATTGCTTTTTAACGCTGCTGATAGTCTGCGCAATCGCAGGAGCCGGTGACGCCACATGGATGCGGATGCTGCGGCTGCGGCTGCGGCTCTGCGGCAAAGCGAACCACAGAAGCTGTAGCTGTATAGCAGTAGCTGATGCAGCATGATTGGATGACTGTCTGTCTGGCTGGCTGGCTGGCTGGCTGGCCGTAATCAGCGCTGCATGTGGGATCAATGGACGGACATGCAGCAAATGAGCAAACATGTGGTCGAAATGTGTTAATTCTACGTTAATTATAAATTGATTTCGGCTGCAGCATTTGCAGTTTGCAGAGCAGGGAAAAGGACATCTTGAATGGGCGCAGCAATGCAGTTAGACTGCTGCTCTGCTCTGCTCCCTCCACTCCGCTCTCCCCTCACCCACTCTCAATTAGCTGGCAATACAGTTGCGATCCAATTTACGATTGGCCGTTAAGCATTTAAGAGCCGAGCCGCGTCGATCGCTGCGTGCCAGCGGGGCAAGCGTAAATCTGGAACGGAACGCCTAGCGAATGCCCCCAAGAAAACATTCGACTCCCGCCGGATCCGTTGTTTATTTATGTTTGCGTTTGTGGCTAGAGAGCAAGGTAATGGCCACGGCACGGGGGTGGCTAGACCATTCGGGGTGGGGGACAGGCACGAGCTGCCATGGAACCGATCCACGCACATTCGGTGGCCATAAACTCCGATGTCAAAGCTCCAATAGTTCACGCTGCACGCGCCTGAGTCTATGCCTGTGTCTATGCCCCGGAATATGCATATATATATACGATATATACCTCTTGCTTCTTCAGTTGTTGTTGTTTTCGTATTTTTATTATTATTGTTTTTCCATCTTATTTATTATCAACTTTGTCCGGGCTCCTTCTGTTGGCATAATTTAACACGTCCCACAATCTGTTGTCGCTGACATCGCTCACAGTTCTTTTGTTTATCTGCAGCCAAATTAATTTTCATTCAATTCGAGAAATTCGAATTTTCCC